TAATTATGAGAATAAAAGTCATAATTTTGAGTTTTAAAGTCATAATTTCGAGAATAAAAGTCATAATTATGACTTTAAAACTCAAAATTATGACTTTTATTCAATTATGACTTCCTGTTGGTCTTTAATTTCATAGCGGAAATGGGCTTCCAAAGTTTACGCAGCACTGTAAATGCATTTATTTTGTTTTTTTTCTGTTGCTGTTTTTACTTTTTGGCACTAGATGGCGCTGCGGTGAACATATCGGGCAGAAAATTAATTAGACTGAATTGTATTCTATAAAAGCCTCTTAACTGTAATAAAGTTCATGAGTTTAACCGTTGTTTTCTTTTTCATTACAACTGCCACAAAGCTAAAGAAACCCAAGCCAGCCCTAACTATAGGATTTATCAAAAAGGAAAGTCTTAATCCCATTCTTCAAACTGGACAATGTGTCAGCCTCATGGACAGAAACTGGAAGTTGGTTCCACCAGAGAGGAGCCTGAAAACTGGAAGAGCTTCCTCCCATTCTGCTGCTGGAAACTCTAGGAACCACAAGTAAACCTGCAGACTGAGAGTGAAGTGCTCTGTTAGGAAAATATGGAACAATAAGATCTGTAATATAAGATGGAGCTAGGTTGTTGAGGGCTTTGTAGGTTAGAAGTAAGATTTTGAATTCAGTTCTGGATTTGACAGGGAGCCAATGGAGAGAAGCTAAAACTGGTTGATGCAGTTTTTCATTGACTCATGAATCTCTGTCCATTTTTACTTCTGAGAGCTTCAGTTTCTCTAAAATGATATTTTTATAGTGAGTTCTCTTACTGACCTTATAATGACAAACATCTGTAAATGCTCCTCCAGATGTTTCTTATTCATACCCTTTAGTTTTAGAGCCTTTTGTTGCTCTTGCTGTAACTTTTCTGAGATTCGTCCAGTTTATTTCTGCAGCTCCAAATCACAGTAAGGTCATCTCAGAGCAGAAACATTCATATACATTAAAAAAAGACAATTAATAAAAGTTATCCATCTCAGGAAGTCAGTTTGTGATGGATCTTCACTTCTCCCATGCAGATGTGTTGTTCCATAAAATTCAAATTTACCTTATTTTTAATGTTAAATAAAAGCATCTTGACGCCTTTAATAGTGCGATGTGACATCAGAGACCATTACAGAGAAATACAAAAGAAAGATAAGACTGAACTCTGCAAGGGTTGTAATGTTTCCGAGTTGACCGTCAGATTCTCCTCACGTTGTTTGAAACATATTGGGGTAAATCATCCATTCACAAGTGTTCATTTATTTTTAGAAATATTATATTTTCCATGTTTTAATTGTATGCTTGATGAACACCTGCTAGACACTTTTTGTTGGTACACCTGTTGTTGGTACACCTGTTGTTGGTACGCCTGTTGTTGGTACACCTGTTGTTAACACCAACAGTCTATCAGAGAATCACAGAGCAGCCTCCATGTCGAGGTGGTGACGACTTGCTGAAGTTCAAAGTGTCAGAACGAGGGAGGAGGATTTAAATGACTCTGAATGTGATGCGGCTTTCAGCGCCAGAAACTGCTGATATTTTTACACACAAACACCTCTTTAAAACAGAATGATCCAAAAAGAGAAGATGTAGCCTACAGGCCAAGAAAGCCTCGATGATGTCAGAGGAGAAGAGGCAGACTGGTGTGAGAAGACAGAACTGGAGAAAACCATCTCTGAACAACTCATCCAACCTTCAGATGGATGCGCTACGTCAGCAGAAGGTCCCACCAGGTCCCACAGGAAACAGGTTCAACAAATTCAAACAAAAAGAAATTGGAGCAATATTTCCTGGTCTGGTGGGTTTGGATTTACTGGTCTCCAACCGTCTTCACAACCAGATCTGCAGCCAGGAGACTGAGAAGACTCACATTATGGATACACAACTGACACATGCAGCAACAGCGTGACGCCAACATGTCTGAAGTGACTATTTGTCCATGAAAACCACAAAACAAAATGATCTAAGTGAAGACAAATGTATCTCAAATCATCTCTGGATGCTCCGTGGGTTTGTGGTTTACACAGTACAAAGGTACAAAAACTGTAGTTTATGGTTTATTCTCAGTTGGCAGCCAAACAATTCTACACAAATCACCGGATCCGTTCCTGCCGCTCCTGCTCTCGCTCCTGCATGACTCCCCTCGTCGCCCCCCGACTACCATACGACCACCCACGTGCCTCCACACCTCCCTACAGCCTACGTATTTGTAGCTCTAATATACCCACGTCCCAAACAAAAATAAATATAGAAACAAATTACCAACCAACAAATTAATTCTAAACAATTATAATCAAACAAAGATACTAATTTAAAAATCAAACCAGAAAATAAGCTAATTTATAAACTAATAAACTAAATTCAAAGACTTAACAAAAAATAGACAAACAGCTCCTACACTGTCAATGTGGACCAAAATGAATCTGGACTGTTCCCAACAATCGTTCAGTCGATGACATGAAATAAAAACGTGTCCGTGTGGACAGAGTCGAGAGGTGACTTCAGTTTGCAGAATTTCCCCGTCGAGCCTAAAAATCTCATTTTATTCTTCCAGGACCATCAGGAGAAGTTCCTTCGACTCCAACTAGAGTCGTCTGCGTCGATCAAGCCAAGACGTCGCAGTTCGTTTGTCTCAGCTCAGTTTGTGTCGCTCCTTCTGCATCACTCTCCATTTGCCTGAGAAAAAGAGACGAAAGGAAAAAATGTTTGTTCTTTACTCCAATTAACCGTGAAGCACATCTTTCATAGCACAGATCTGTTACCTGCACAGCACAAGACAAACTAGAGAAACTGCATTTCCTGGGAAAACGCAGTGTGAAGGCTTATTGCTGAAAAACAGCTGAAAAACAGCTGAAATTAGCTAAAAAAAAAAAAAAAAAAGCTGAAATGAAAGAACAAGTCTGAATTAGTAAGGAAAACAGAAAGAGCCCGTGTTTGCTGAAATAGGTTTAAATAAGCAGAAATAAGAACAAAAACTAAGAAATTATCTTAAAAAAGGCTGAAATTAGCACACAAAAAATAGCTGAAAATGCATAAAGAAGCTTAAACTACCAGAAGAAAGAAAAAAGAGCCGAAAGGAGCTCCAAAAACGTGGATTTAGCTGAAAATGCCAAAATTTGAACAAAAAGCTAAAGAGTAGCTGAAACAGCAGAAAAAAACCTGAAAATAGCAGACGATGGCTGAAAGGAGCACAAGCTGAAATTAGCAGAAAAAAGTTAATTAAGTTGAAAGTAGCAGAAATTATTATTATATGAAAACAGTAAACAAGATAATTAGCAGAAGAAAGCAGAAAGAACACAAGTTTGTCCAGTTAATCTGAAAGAAACAGAAATGAGCACAAAAAAGTGGAAATTATCTGAAAAAAGCTTAAATTAGCAACATCAACAACAAACAGCAGAAAGGTATAGCTATAAATAAGCAGAAAGAAGCTTAAATTAGCAGAAGGAAGTGGAGAGAGCACATTTTGGCTGAATTTGACTGAAAAAAGTTGAAACGAGTGCAAAAAATGTTGAATTAGCAGATAAAGCTAAAATTAGTATGAAAACAGCTAAATAGGAGCTGAAAAGTCAATAAAAGCTGAAACTAGCAGAAATAAGCTGAAAGGAGCATAACAAGCTGCAACGGTCAGAAAGAAGTTAGAAGAAACACAAAAATGTTGTAGTTAGCAGAAAGAATCTGAACGGAAAACAAAACAGCTGAAATTAGCTGAAAACAGCTGAAATGAGCTGAAAAGAGCTGAAATTTTTACCCAACCCTTGTCTGTACATGTCAGGTCTCCTCTGCGTTTGTACCTTTTCTTCTCAACATCAAAGATGTTTTCAGGCAGATGGACGTTGAGTGTCTCTGGAAGCAGAAAGACCAAGCTGCCACTGACGATCCCTGTCCCAGCAAAGACCACGGGGGGCAGAAGAAGCCAGGTGTCCTCCAGCATCATGATCATTGGAGCCAGGGAGCTTCCAGTCCGAGCGAGACACGAGGTGTAGCCTAAACCACACTGCCTGTCCAACAACACAACCAAGAGCTGCATCAGGACCGTTTGTGTAAATGAGTTTGCATCTTGTTCTTTGTGACGTCAACAGGAACACAGAGCAGCAACGTACAGGTAGGTTCGAACAAGACGGCTGTGTTCTGCTCTAGACCTAAAAGAGGCAGACAGTACTGTCAGGGCACGTGCTAAGATTTGTGAAAGAATGAAAAGTAATCAAGCAGAGGAAGTGAATGAGGATCAAAACTAGAATTTTTATAATCTGGCAGTGATTTATAACAAGAACTGGAGTAAGAAGAATAACAGAAGACTGACAGAATCAAAATTAAACATCAAGGACAAATGTAATCTGCAAAAGAAGCACCCAGCTGGTCTTATTTGTCCACATGGGAGGTTCCACTTCACTTCAAACTTGGGTCCTTTGCAGCATCGGAGCTGCTCCTGTGCCTTCATCATCTGTAGCTTTGTCAACCACCACAACGAGCCGTTGGTTAGCCTTCACCTGTTTGTGTGTCTGGATCTGGAAGTACCACAGGATCTTAGCACTGCTGTTCTGCACAACATCTGGCAGAGTCTCCCACTTTGACTGTTGGACCTTCAGTCTATATACAGATGTTCCGGTACAGGTGTTCCTCTATTTCAGCCATTGGTTATGGCAGTCCATCATGTGTGCTTCACCTGGCATGGTAGACTCCAGCATCCATTACCTTGTGCTGAGGGCCTTCTCTTGTGCTGGTGTCTATTGGATGTCCTTCAGTCCAGCCCTCTGTAGGTACTGGTGGGATCTGTAGATATCAGACACTTCCTCAATTTGCCGGTGGTACATTTTATACAGAGGCTTATCCTTCAATGATCGTTCTTCTTGTTGATGGTTCTTTTCATCTTCCACATTGGGGTTTTGCTGCTCGACCTATCAATTCATCATTGGGGACTTTCTGGACGTACTCCAAGATCTTGGTTGTTTCATAGTGAGCATGAACATGAGCAGCTACAGAAACAGTGATCCCCAATGATCAAAATGAGGGAGAGATGGAAGGAGGATCCTCAGCAGAACAAGAAGCCGCGAGTAATTTTATGTATAATTGATGGACACTAAATCTTGCACAATGTAGCTTTGCTATTTATCAAGGTTCACACTCAATAATCCAGGTAGATAAAACAAAGTTAAGACTTCATCAGTCAGAGGAGCCACAACAAACTCAGTCTTATAAACAGCACCTTCACATAGTGGGACAACCAGGGAACCAACCAGGGAACCAACCATGTGACGGTGCTATTTAAGACTGAGTTTGATGTGGCTCCTCGAGCTGATGAAGTCTTTTGGATGAAAGATGAAACGTTTCAACAAAAAGAAACCGTCCAGAGGACCTGACTGAACTTTGTTGGACATCATTGCTATTCTTTGTTCTGTTGTTGCCAGTTTGATCGTTACACAAACTAACCTGTTGAGTGTTGAATACTGGGAAACGTCTGCATCAGACAGAAGATGACTGGGTTCGAAATGGATGCATGCGCACAAGATGTACCTGTAATAAATCTTCCACTACTAAGGCAGCCGGCAGTTCCATGCACTGCACAAGGTGCCCTGTTTGACTTGAGCACCTGATGTCTGTGCACGCCACTGTGTCTTACTCTTTGTATGTACAAAGTACTTACTGTGAGGTCAGTTCGAACCACAGCAAATCAATTCTGTTCGTCAATTTTAGTTTTACCATCGAGAAACTGCAGTAGTTTTGCTCAAAGCTATCATACCATCAGTATTTCAAACTTGTGCCTGCTAGAAAGATACATGTTTATGTTGAAACACTTCCTGTTTGCAGTTTAATCACAAAAAGCCAGTAATAAAATGAAGAAAGTGCTTTAGATCGTATTTTCAAGACCAGAGATGGGAGTTTACCGGAGAACCGTTGGGTAGAGTTCAGCTGTGTAGAGGAAAGCTGTGGTGAACGCAGCCTCAGAAAAACCCTTCGCCACCACACCAACACACGTTCGAATCACAGAGTACTCTAAAAGTGAAAGAGATCAGTGATGAGTAAGAATCCGTTTTTTTAAACTGAAAACAAATCAAGCCAAAGAGCAAAACAGACAAAAGTGCAAGTTTTGCAACTTCAGATAAACATTTTTCATTGTGTGTATACACAGTAACTACTGTCACCTAGTGGTATGGCTGCATTGATCCCAATCAGAGCTCCTGTTGTGATCAGGAACCAAGCCTGGCAGTGCCGCCTACCGATCCGGTCCAGGACGAAGAAGGTGAGGATTTTGGCAGGAGCTTCAATGGCTCCGTAGATAAACTGCGTGAGGTAAATGTTGACACCGAAACCTGAGATTTTGAAACTGATTCCATAGTAAAGGAAGGAAACTGCAAACCTGCAGCACAGCAACACAGCCGGGATTAAAACACGCAGCACCTGTCAAGCAGAACCTTTTAAAGAATAATCTGGTACCAGAAAAACCCCGAGCACAGGGTGATCTTTCTCAGCTGCGGGGATTTGATCAGATCCAAATAAGTGTGGTTCTTTTCAGCCACCTCGGACACCGTTATCGTCCTCAGAACCTGAAACAAGCGCACAGTTCCTCCTGTTAGGCATGGAGTTAAGAACTTGCTGAAAAACAGCCGAAATCAGCTAAAAACATGCTGAAATATAGCTGATATGGAGGAACAAGACTAACTTAACAGAAGAAAACAGAAAGAACACATATTTGCTGAATTAGGTTTAAATAAACAGCAATGAGCACAAAAATAGTAAATTAGTTAAAACAGCTGAAATTAACAAAAAAAATAGCTGAAAGTAGCTGAAAAGGCAGAAAGAAGCTTAAGCTACTAGAAGGAAGACGTAAGAGCTGAAATGAGCTCAAATTATGTGAAATTAGCTGAAAAAGCTAAATTTAGCATAAAACAGCCAAATATTAGCTGAAATAGCAGAAAAAGCTGAAACTAGCAGAAATAAGCTTAAAGGAGCATAACAAGATGACATTAGCAGAAAGAAATTAAATAGGCTGAAAGTAGCAGAAATTACCATAAAAAAGTGATCTGAAAACAGCTGAAATTAGCTAAAAATGCTAAAAAGGTAGCTGAAAACTAGAACAAGCTTAAATTAGCAGAAGAAGGCTGAAAAACACATGTTTGTCCTATTAGGTTGAACGAAGCCAAAATGATCACAATAAACGTGGAAATGATATGAAAAAAACAAAATTAGCAACAAAACAAACAAAAACAACAGCTGAAAAGTTGCTTAAAAAGCAGAAAGAAGCTTAAACTACCAGAAGGAGGTGGAGAGAGCACATTTGTGCTGAATTAGGTAGAATAAAGTTTAAATTAGTGCAAAAAATGTGGAATTAGCTGAAAACGCTAAAATTTGCATAAAAGAGCTAAATAATAGCTGATATGACTGAAACTAGCAGAAAACAGATGAAAGGAGCACAAAACAAGTTGTTTGGTTTTCTGATGACCTTTTAGACTGAAGGCAACGTGTTCAACATAAAGGTACTTCTCCCAGCTATTTAACTGTCAATAATCATCATCAATCCTCAGTGCAGACCGACTCTCTTACTTTGATCAGCATCAGCATCAGCATCAGAATCAGCATCAGCATCAGAATCAGCATCAGCGTCAGCATCAGCATCAACATCAGAATCAGCATCAACATCAGCGTCAGCATCAGCATCAACGTCAGCGTCAGCGTCAGAGTCAGCGTCAGAGTCGGCCGAGATACAACGAGAACACGCACGAACAGTCGTGTAAAAAGATGGACGGAGTGCACGGAGCTGCTGCTATGAAGCGCGGCCTTCTTATTCAGAATAATATATTTAGATAGAAAAAGGGCCAAAGCCACGAGGAGAGGGGCAGTGGCCTTACAACAAAAGATCTCTTCACGCCTTGTCCTTATAGGGCAACATTTAAGACATCTAAAACTCTGCCAGCTAAAACACATTCATGAACACGTTACATGTGCCTTTACAAACGAGGTGGTCCATGAAGTCTTAGATAGTCCTGATAAGATGAAGGTCAGCTGGTACAGTTCTAATAAGGCTCCACAGAAGGGGGGGGGGGGGGTTGCTATAGACGAAGCTTTTCCTCAGTTTACACATTTCCCAGGAAAAGTCGTCCTGTTCCGAGTCCAGCTGGGGAGAAGTTCAGATAACCACAATTGTTGATTTATTCAGGCAGACTATTTTTCCGTCAGCCTTGAGTCTGTGCTGAAACTTCCAAGGTCCGACGTGTCCAGATTAGGGTGCACGCCATGGTCCGTGCCTGCGAGCCTCTTCAAGATGGTTTTTTACTCCTGTTTCTGGGAATTCGTTGCAAAACGATCTGAAGTTCTTGACCTTGACCTTGACCTCTCTAATGGATTTTAAACAATTCTTTGATGTTCAATGCAAAAATCAACGCAGACATGTTCCTGTTTTTAGAATCTTACACTGTTTTATAATGTAGCATTTTTTAATTTTGTTTTATATCACTTCTTTTATATACTTTTCATTTTATATGCTTTCGTATGAATGCTTATTTTTGTGTGTACATCATTTACGGTTTTTCTTTAAAACGAATCTCTCTTGTCAATGAGTCCTGACTAACCTGTAAAAATAAAAGTTGAATGAATGAAAAAAGCAGCTGAAAATTGCTAATTTTAAATTAGCAGAAGGAAGCTGAAAGAAGCTGAAGCAGTAAAAGATTGTAAACAGATCTAAAGGTTTGTTGGAAAATGAGCTCAATTCATTTTCTGTGAGAACAAAATGTCAGAAAAGGCTAAATATTTGAAAAAGCTAAAGTTGCACCGACACCAAAAGTCATAGCTGGATTGTCCTGAAAGAGCCGAACGTTTTGATTCATGATTTGATTTCAAAACTGAAAAACGTTCAGAAGAAAAATGGATCTCAATGAAGTGAATGCGTCACAAACATTCAGACAACTAGAGCTGTTTTTTATTGTCAACCACAACTGAAAGACAAACAATGTTTTCATGTAGGTCTGTTTTTGTCTTTTATGAATCGTTGAGTGATTTTAATGAGAAATTTGAGAACGTAATCACTGTCTGTACAACTACAACTCTTGGAGTCAGCAGCAGCTAACGTGGCACCACGTGCACCCAAATTTAAGATGCTCACCAAATCAAATCACAAAAAACGAGTTAGGGTTAAAAAAATGACTACAACTCTGTCCGTTCTTCAGATAATGAGGTAAACTTTGATGTGGTAGTAACTGAGAGTTATTTACAACACATACCCAGCACATTTTGTGTATAATTATAATTAAACTTTTTCAAACTTAGCTACAACATCATCATTTCTGAGTATTGGAGAATCTTAGTTTAAAATTCTGGCATGAAATCTTCATTCCTTCAAGAAAAATTGAGATTTATTTAAAATAATTCACAGGTCACACGGGCTTAAGTGCACATAACTTCACCAATTTTCAAAAAGGCATATTCTAATTCTAATGAAGGTAAATTAAATGTTGCTGTAACTCATCATTTTGGTTTCATTAAAGAGTTGTTCTAGATGCTGATGATGTGGACAGGAAGGATCTGAAGAAGCCTCTGACTGAAGACACTCTGTTGTATGACAGTCTGATGTTGTATGACAGTCTGTTGTTGTATGACAGTCTGTTGTTGTATGACAGTCTGATGTTGTATGACAGTCTGATGTTGTATGACAGTCTGATGTTGTATGACAGTCTGTTGTTGTATGACAGTCTGTTGTTGTATGACAGTCTGATGAAGAGGATGCTGAGGGTTGTCTATAATGTTCTTCATTTGATGAAGAATCCTTCTTCGTACAATCATCTCCAAAGGTTCTCGGGGAGTCCCCAGAACTGAGCCAGCCTTCTTTATGAGCTTCTTGATCTTTTTGAAGTCACTTGCTCTGGTGCTGCTCCCCCAGCAGATGATGCAGAAGAGACAGCGCTCTCTACAACAGACTTATAGAAGATATGCAGCATCTTGCTGCAAACGCTGAAGGACTTCAGCTTCCTCAAGAAGTACAGTCTGCTCTGTCCCTTCTTGTAGACTTTGTGATTTGGGGCTGTAGTTGAGGTCTTATTTGAGCTTTTGAGATGTTAATCAGCTGCTCCCGGTTGTAAAAACACCCACCTTGTTGTCATGGTTACGCTTCATAACAATTGTCCAAAAGTAAAGTGGTTTCAGTGAAAATCCTTTCAGCTGAGCAGGAAATAATCATCCAAAAAAGTATCAAAGTCCATGCTCCAGTAAAAAAAATCCAACAAAGTTAAGTCATCTGGATGGTTTCTTTACGTTGAAACATGTCGTCAATCAAAAGAATTCATCAGTTCGAGGAGCCACAACAAAGTAGCACACTCACATAGTGGACCAACCAGTTTGATGGTGATTGGTTTCTGGAGTCCACCCTCTCCCCCATCGACTCCTCGGAGGCAGCTGAACCACTTTGGCTCAGATGGCTCCAACCCATCTCATCTGCAGCCCAGAAGGAGATCAAGTGTTCAGCCACCAAGTTTTTACCTGAGCCGAGAGCCAGCAACCTCTTCGCTCCTTCCTCTCAGTGGACAGGATGATCAAAAACACATAAAACATCTTTCAAGATTGTATTAAACGTTAAATCATCTGTACAATTCATGTTCATGTTTGTGCTGATGTTCAATGTTTTATGTTATGAGTGCTTAGTGTATATTTAGTTGATGTTTTTCTTAGTTCATATCTTAGATGTTATTACTGTTTTTCTTATACATTTTATTGTTGGATGTAACTGGGACCCTGTGTACATAATTTCGCTCCACCACATGTACCACATGAGGTGCGAATGACAATAAAGAAACTCTGACTCTGACTCTGAAACTCTGACTCTGACTCTGACTCTGACAATAAGAACTCAGGTTAGAGACCAACAAAGTGCTTGTCCTTTCAAAGAGCTCATTGTGAATGTTGGTCAAGAAACCCCAGAGACATAAGTAAGAGGCTTAATTCAAAGCCAATCTGCAAAATCAACCCACTCCATTGATCAGGCTTAACAAACTCAGAGGGTCGTATGTCACACGCTTGTTGGACTCGAGCTGGATGTGAGAACAGAATCTGGAGGGGGAGGTAAAACATCTGAGGTCCCCTAATGCTAGTTTCTGTTTTATAGCATACAACCTGCTACCCAGTTCCTCCATGTTGGCTTTAGTGGTAAGTTGAGTGAGAATCTGTTGAATGGTGGAATCATGGTTGTCAATATGTTTATTCTGAGTAAGGATGGATGTTGGAGTCCTCTTGGTCTCTGGATGTTAGTGTATGGTTGGAACGTTCTATCACATTTTATAGTGATTTAAAACATCCCAAAGTACCACCTGCGAACTAAGAGACCAACAACATTAGATACTGTAAGTGCTTTATTTACAGTTGTGAGTTTCCAGGAATACGTGAGGGAGCTGCAGGAGAGAAGAAGCAGTGAGCCTGGTTCCTTAATGATATTGTCTGTGTCCATTCATCCAATCATCCATTAATTATCTTTTACCCACTTCTTCCTTTTCTGGTCGGGGGCGTCACTGGTGCCCATGTCCAGTTATCATTGTACAAGAGTTGAGGAACACCCTGGACAGGTCTCCAGTCCTTCACAGGGCCACATAGAGACAAATGAGACAACTATTCACCAGGGGACTCCAAGGCTAAGGAGATGACCAAAGTGACCGGGTAAGTGAATTAAGTATGTGTCATATTCACCACTTGCTCTTGACGAGATCGGATGCTTCTCCCCTCCCTCTCCGCTTTGCTTTGCTACTCTGTCTCTCTGTGAAACTGCTGTGAGCCTCTCTTGCAACTTCTGAACCATAATTATGGACTTGTTTTGACCAGTTGGTCCCTCAACTCAATTTACAACATTTCTTCAGGAGAAGACAGGCTTTAGGCGAGCCGATTTACCCTGTTGGCACGCAGCTGGACATCTCATCCACTTGAAGACTTGATGATGTGTGTATCTCTGCTGCCATCTGTGGATTTTAAGGACGCATATTTATTTGGATTTTCAACAACTGGTTCCTGCTTTTTGAATTCAGCTGGTCCTGGTTTTTATCTACAATCAAGGAAGTCGTTGGCAGCAAATTTGGACACAATCACGCTGCTTGCCTTTTGTTGGCTTGGTTCGTGTCTCGAGTACCCAGACTCAAATGCTTTGGGCTGAATGGATCAGATCTCAGGGAATTTACTCAGGCATGTTCCATCGGTGTGGCCATGTTATTTTGGACATTTCGGAACAGAGTTGACCAACACAGACTCAAGGTAGATGTCATTAAGTTCTGCCTGTCCCCAAAACAACTGTGTGTTCATCTGAATTTGGCTCCCTTGGCTGGCCTTGAAGGCCATCTTATCTGAATTCACCTGGAGAACATGTGATCTGATGCTCACCACCCCCTCTCTGAGGAATTTCCAACTGATAACCAGATGAACCAGCTGAATAAACTTTGTGTCATCGTTTCAGGACTCTTGGATTCTCATAGGGGTTATCCTTGGCAATTCCTTGACATGCGTTGAGAATGTTTATGGATCTCACCGGAGGACATTGACTGATTACAGTGACCTCGAGAGCATCTATATGCGTTGTTGACCACTCTCGTCTCCGATTGCAGAATGTCTACGTCACTATGTGCTGTTTGTGCGAGGTGTTTTTTTAATATTAGAGGAGTTTTTTTCTCAGGCAAGAAAAAAAAAGTCTGATAGGAATTTTTTTTGCCTCCAACTCCTACATGTGTCCAGTTAACCACTGTTTTTGTCTGTCCAAACTGGTCTCACTTGTAAATGAGTCTTGGAGGCTCGATGTGATTTATCTGTTTAAATAAAGGTTGAATGAATGAAAAGTAGATGGATAGTGACAGGATAAACCTCAAGGCTGAATGGCAGTGTGTTGGGTTGATGTTTTATTGTAATGCTTGCAGGTGGCAGTTCCAGAGGTGGGATCCAAAGAGACATTGGGAAATACAGGCGGGCTTGTGTTTTAGGGAACACCAAGGAGCAACTGGACACAGGAGCTGCAAGCAGCACAAGAAGCACAAAGGTGCTATAATCTTTAGCATGGAGGACATTCACTAGGGCTGGACACAGTGAGCAGCACGGTGGCTCAGCTGGTAGAGCTGTTGCGTCTCAAAGGGTGTCAGTTCAAATCCCAGCCTGGGACCTTTCTGGGTGGAGTTTGCATGTTCTCTCCGTGCTGCGTGGATTTTCTCCAGGTACTCCAGTTTCCTCCCACAGACCAAAAACATGCATGTTAGGCTGATTGGTAACTCTAAATTGTCCCTAGGTGAGAGAGAGAGTGAATGGTTGTTTGTCTTGTTTGTCTCCATGTGTCCCTGTGCAGGACTGGAGACCTGTCCAGGGTGTCCCCCGCCTCTCGCACAGTGATAGCTGGACATGGGCACCAGTGACGCCCCCGACCCAAAAAGTAAGGTGAGTAAAAGATGAGTGGATGACTGGATGGATGGACAGTAACAGGAATGGACGATGTTGGTCCAAACAGTCTTAAGGAGGGACAGCTGTGGGTAATTGGTTTCATCCTGTGACTCAGGAACTGCAAGAAAACTGTTAGGTGGTGGAACCCCCCCACATCTATAACCAAACAAACCCACAGACACAGGTTACTGTCTCATCAGAAGAAGGCAGCAACAGATGTCATGTTGATGACACTGGGTGTGATGATTGACAGTAAACAGTAGAACTGTATCTTACATTTTCAGTTCAGTTTATTTCTAAAGCTCCAAGTCACAGCAGAAGTCTTCTCAGGACACTGAACAGAAACATTAATATATATAAAAACATTACGTATCTGAGGAGCAGACTGGGACAGTGATGTTAGAAGTGCAGCGGACTACAAGACACACTATCCAGTAGTGAGAATGTTCATTTTCAGTCATGCTCTTCAGAGCCACAATTTGTACATTATTAAAGGTGAATTTTAGGTTTGACTTTCAGTAAGTCAACAATCTGTACCTCGGTGTCCAACTTTGACGTGCATGTGTCCCTCCTGTTTATTTTAGCGCACTGAGTGAGATACTTCTGGGCTTCCTCTGTTCTTCCATGGGCCAACAGCCAGCGTGCTGACTCAGGCAACCACCTGAAGACAAAAGTGGAAGCCATTGTCTTTTTCAACACCGTGTCAGCTTCTACGACAGGTACCCCATCAGGTCTGAAGCTTACCACCAGGAGATGAGCGCAACGATGCAGGGTGCTGTGGCTGCCATCGTCAGGTGCCTCCAGTCTCGGATGAGGAAGGCCAGTAGAGCCAGAAACATGTTCCCCACGGTCCACGACAAACTCATGATGGTTCCAGTAAATGTTCGATGCTTCACATCTGTCCATTCAATACCTTAAACACATGTTAGATTCAAGGGTTTGTAGACTTCAGTAAAATATAAATGACTATTCAGAAGGAGAACCTACTGGATTTAAAAGGTTTTAATTACTTTTTGTGACCAAAGGTGTTTGTCAATATTTAGGAACGCAACAATATGCATATACATAGTGTGTGTGACTTCCACCGTTTTATTCTCAGGCACAAGAATAAAACAATATAAATATGATGAACAGGAGGTGAAAAATCACAGGTTGATGCAATTTTTCATATTTCTTCTTCTTCTTTCAATTTTTCCCTCTTCAGGGTCTCCACAGCGAGTCCTCCTCCATCTCACTCTGTCCTCTGTGTCCTCTGTCCTCACTCCAACTACCTCCATGTCCTCTCTAACTGCATCCATATGTCTCCACTTTGTCTTTTTCCTGGCAGCTGCATTTCTAACAACCTTCTACCAAAGTACCCACTGTCCCTCCTCTGGACATGTCCAAACCACTGTCCATCCTCTGGACATGTCCAAACCACTGTCCCTCCTCTGGACATGTCCAAACCATCTCAGTGTGTCCTCTCTAACTTCATCTCCCAGTTGTTCAACCTGTGCTGTAACTCTGATGATTTCATTCCTGATCTTCTCCATCCTTGTCTCTCCTAAGGAGAACCTCAACATCTTCATTTCTGACACTTCCAGTTCTGTCTCTTGTCTTTTTGTCCATTTCTCTGTCTCCAGAACATACAACATAGCTGGTCCCACCGCTGTCTTGTAAACTTTTCCTTTGACCTTTGCTGACACCCTTTAGTCACAAATCACTCCTGAAACTTTTCTCCATCACTCCATCCTGCCTGGACTCTCTTCTTCACCTCTTTACCTCACCTGCGTCCTCGGGCTGTGGATAAAGCTCCTGCAGCGACACTTTTTTCAGGCAGGCGCCCACCGTGGGACAACAAGCGCTGCTCTATGGTTTTGGCCACATTTAGAAAAAACAGCCTAATATTTAGTGTTTTGTCTGTGGCTTAGAAAAGAGTTGCTCTCAGTCTTCTTGCTCACTTCAGAAAAGCGTCCTGGTCGCTCCGACAAGCTCCAAATACTCTGACTGCACGACAACGAGCTTTATGAGCCGAGATCATCGTCTCTTTTGAGCACTTCAGTGAAAGTTCAGAAAACTCCTGCAATTATTCACACATCAGATTGTTCACACAAGCGCAGGAACTTATGCGTTGTGCAAAACTTTAATTGTATTTTTGTGTTTTTTAATAAAACTGCCCGTGATTTTTAACTTTTAGGGGTGGAGTTTTTTTAAGAGCAGAAGCATGAATGTGCAGCGACAGCTCTGATGTGATATTAGGAAGCTTGTTATTTTTAAAATGTATTTATATGTAACTAGTTTCAGATTACATATCCTATATAGGTTTTATTTGTTCAAGGCAATCATGTTTGTTCATAAATTTATTATTAGTCAGTCTGAGAGTTACCGCATCCAAGCAAACAGTTACCGGAACGCACCATGTCAAAACAAGGGAGTTCCTGGATCCTGTTCCGGCAAGATCCAGCTCAAATTAAGCCCTGATCATAGTCCACGGGGATTCCTCCCTGACCTCATCTGTTAGTCATCCCATTACTAGAGCAAACAAGAAGGGGCTCAGTGCTGATCCTTGATGCACTCCCACCTCCACCTTGAAGCTATCTGTCAGTCCTACATCACATCTCACCACTGTCCTGCTGTCCTCTACATGTCCTGTACCAGTCAAACATGTCCTGCTGTCCTCTACATGTCCTGAACCAGTCAAACATGTCCTGCTGTCCTCTACATGTGCTGAACCAGTCAAACATGTCCTGCTGTCCTCTACATGTGCTGAACCA